GCGGACTTTGACAAAATTCTGGTCCTGAAGGATGGACGGATAGCGCAGATGGGCACGCCCGCAGAGATCCTGCGGGCGGGCATGGAGGCGGCAGCTGCGAGCGGTTCAGGCTCGGAGTCGCGGTCCGGCAACGCCGAGGAGGACGGTGGTGAGGATGACACGGCGTTCTGGGATCTCGTGCGGAAAAGCTCTGAAAAGGAAAAGTTGGTGGAAATGATTTTGGGTGAGAAGGCCTGAGGAGAATACGCCAAGGGACGGTGACAGGGACAGTGCACAAAAAAGACGAATGCGAATGCTTGCATATAATTCTTGCTAGAACAAAACTTGTTGGACATACTCCTGGATGCAAAGGTGAATCTTCCGAGACCGGGGTTATCCCAGCCCGCGCCGACCCGAAAAGATCCCCCACGCCTGACCCAATAATTATTCCACGTTTTTGCAAGGAAACCGTCGATCCTTTTTTATTTAAAGTTGCATCAAGGCCATATTCGCCGGCCGTTGAACCGAGATTTGTGAGCTCCCCGCCTGATTTGTGCATCGATATCCATAAATAAAGATACCCCAGATATACACATGGTATTCAGCCTATATAGCTTCACCTGGTATTTGGGTCGAGAGGTAGTCTCGTTGGTGGGCTGACTGCCTTGAGTAGGCACCAGAGCTCCACACACACGCACACATAGGCGGCACCTAGACCTACACATGCACAACACATACGCACACGCATATACACGCATATACGGGCGGGCTCAGCTGGCGTCAATGGCGGCGGCTGCACCCGGCACCGAGCAAAAACGACAGCCACATCCCGAACGGGGATAGGCAGCGGGACAGGAAGGAAGCAAGACGCGAGCACAGTCGCGAGCATGGGTTCTTTCTTGGAAATCCCTGCGAAGCTGGGCGCATCAGCTGAAGCCCGTCCCCACGCGTCCAGCCGACACTGCCACTGGATATTGCACAGGCCGCGTGTGTCATTTTCATCGATACATGCTTGGTTCGGATCGAAACGTCTCGTATTGGCCCGTTGCTAGTCGGGTAGGCGTCTTTTTGTCGTCTCTCGTCGCCGGCCATGTCCACATATTAGTGTATACAACCGTCGTCGTTGTCCGGGTCGGCTCGCCGAGCGCCCACTTCCGCAGGCAGGTGGGGTCTTGGGTACCACAAGGGGACCAGACGTCGCCGTGGCCGCCAGGGGCTTGGGGCCAGCAGGCCACTCGTGGATTTTATCCCGCCGTGGCACCTTGGATGTAACCCACCCGCTTTCCCCACCCGCTCCCCACCGGCGCTCGCCATCTTACACTCACCACTCACATCCATCCACACCCGCACACACACCCGTATGGGCTGACGTTGACTTGTGTGCCGACTACGGTCAGTTGTCGTCGTCAGTTGTGCCGCGTTGGGGTAAGGAAGAGAAGTGAGAGAGTGAGAAAGAAGGCAGAAAGAGGAGACGGGACGGCTGGTAAGACTCTCGTGCTCACGCGCTTGGCCCCCAACTCCGAGCTGCCAGCCCCATCCTCCCAGCTTCCTTCCCTCTCGCCCGACACCCTCCCCAGCGCTGGGTCAGATAGATCTGGCTCCGACCCCTCCCTCGCCCACGGGATCACCATTGCATACGCCACGCGCCCTGTGCTACGCTATCTGCCGGCAATCTCTCAAGTCTTGGCCAAAGTCTCTCTGTCTCTCTCTCTCTCTCTCTCTCCCCAACGCCGAAGCGCCGAACAGGGCCGGTCCAACCCGGACTGGCTGCTGCCTGTCTGTATTTTTGTTTCTGCGTCAAGACGCGCGCTTGCCTAGGGAAGATCTCATCCACTCCTATCACCACCAGGCCTCTCGTTTTTCCTTGTGATGTGCTCCAAAGATAGATCCCGTCTGCCTCCATCCTCCACGTTCCATCTGCCGACCCCCGGCTTTGCTCGTAATCAATATTTTCCAGGCCCCTTGCTTTGCCTTGCCTCGCCGCCGCCAAACCAGAGTTTCCCAGCACCGGAAGAAGCAACGACCCCCTTTTTTTTTCGGCGTTGCAACCGCCAGCCACCATGCAACAACGAGGAGGAGGGCTAAGCCCATCTGCATAGTCACGGGGAGATATAAGGTAGGTGTAAGGTCCTTATGTCTGCGGCGCGTGCGGCATAGTGGCGTTCGGCCTAAGCTAGCGGACAGCATCTCCGGCCGCCGCTTCCAAGTGTTTCCCCGAACCAAGGCAGAAGGATCACACGCCCGCACAGGTTTGGAAGTGCCCGTCGTCAGAAAAAAAAAACCCCCCCTTGCTAGCGTGCCCCGTCAACCCCCGCTGCTTGCAAATCCAGCCCATTCCTTCAGCCGCGGCCATGGCGGCGGGCATCAGGGCGTCACGGCCAGCCCCGGTTCCTTCCCGGCCGCCCTCGTCATTGAGAGAAACCCCCGTTGCGTTGGGGCCCCATCAGGTCTAGATTGGGACCGTAGGGCTTGGATATCGTAGCCGATGGGCGCCCAACATGGTTAGCCAGCCGATCGAAACCTTGCCGCGCGCTCAGCCATGAGGAGCGGATCATTTCCCAATCCGGCCTCAAAAAAGGTGTGCGGCTCAGGTGCGTCTCCCGAACCTCCCCCATCCCGCGTGCGGCGATAATCTTCATCAGCCAGGCATCACCCGCCCGTGTGTCATGGCTCATCCTCTTCCTACTCCCTCTCCTCTTCCTCATCCGCCCTCCCCCGGCCCGGCGTTGGTGGCGTCGATAGCCGCTCGAGCTCAGCTGTGCCGTCAAAGATGTAAAAGGCACCAATAGAGCTTCGTATGTCCCTTATCCGGCCGCCACTGCGACTGTGATATTGGCTCTCGAGGGGGGGTCACGGTGACTAGTTTCCTTTTTTTTTTTTTCTTCCAAGTCCGCCTTGCCGTGGCGTGAATCACATACGAGTCCCCGACCGAAGGTGGGTGGCCCCCTCCCCCTTCGCCTTGCTTGGCCTTGCTGCTGAGAGAGAATATTGGCTCGGAGGCCCTGATCTTCCGCCCTCGCGTGACTCGCCTCTCTCGGTGATCAGCCTGGCCTGGAGGGAGAGCGGGACGCGATAACCGGGCACGGGGTGGGGGTCGATCCGCGGAAGAAGGGAGCAAGAGAGAAACGAGAGAGTCTGAACCTGGAGGCTTCCCGATGTGGATGACAAGATGCGATGTGAACAGTAGTCTGGCGGATTATAAAAGCCTCCTCCGCGGCCACCTCGAGAAAAGAAGATATCCGGAAGGATGCAAGCAGCAACCGGCCTTTGCCTTCAGGCAATATCTTCGGTTTTCGCTCTCCCCAGACTTCTGATCTTCGGTTTGGTACCGTCTCACTACATAATTCATATTGCCCTTGCATATCTAGATACTCGCCCACTATCCCGTCACTGTGTACCCTAGCCCGTGCACGCCGTCTTGTACGCTAGCCACCCTCTTCCTCTCTCTATATATATCCTTGCCTTCATATCCCTCCCCTCGTCCAGCAGCCAAGACAACAGACAGGATGCTCTGGCACCTCGTCTCGACGCTGGTCCTCCTCGTCCTCACCCAGGGCGCCGCGGCCGTCCTCGACGTCAAGGTCGTGGCCGCGTCCCGCAACGACACCACGCCCGTGGACCCTTCGCAGATCAAGCTGTTGCGCAAGGAGGTGACCCCGAGCCAGCTGGAGCGCCTCAAGAAGGCCGGCGGCAGCGGCGGCGACGACAACAGCGACAACGACAAGAACGTCACCCGCCGGGCTAACCCCGTCGGCTACAGCGGAAACTGGTGCGGCGCCTCGCAGCACACGCCCACCAGCGACCGCTTCAAGTCCGTGACGGGCGTCTTCACCGTGCCGGACCTGAGCCTCCGCCCGTCCACGGCGACGCCTCAGTTTGTGGCATCCTGGATCGGTATTGACGGCGCCAACTGCGCTACTGCGCTGGTGCAGGCGGGTGCTACGACAGAGGTAACTAGATGGAGCCCTAACACCCAGGACTTAGTCTGTATGACGTGACTAATATGGCTTTCAGATCAAATCCAACGGCTCGCAGAAATCCAACCTCTGGTTTGAATGGATCCCTGATGCGGCTTACAACATCCAGAACCTGCCTGGTGAGTATCTCGGTACACAGTCAAAACATCTAGGACTTGTCTAACAGGCTCTCTCTTCATCAGCCTCGCCCAACGACATGATCCGCGTCAAGATCACCGCGACCTCAAGCTCGCAGGCTGTCATGTAAGTCCAACCAGCCTGACCCCACCCGAAGCCACCGCAGATTTGGCTGGCTAACCAGCGCCCCCCAAACAGCGTCGTCGAGAACCTGAGCCTGCCGGCGACGGCGCCCGTGTCGTCGGTCCAGATCAGCCTGAGCAACGGCTCGCCGCTGTGCCGGATCGACGCCGAGTGGATCGTGGAGAACTTCAAGATCAACGGCAACCAGACGCCGTTCGGCCGCTTCCAGGACATCTGGTTCCAGGCCTGCGAGGCCAAGACCACGAGCGGCGCCACCGTCGGCATCAACGGCGCCTCCATGATCTACCTGCAGAACACCGGGCCCAACCCCAACTGTTTTGCCTACGAGTACGACAATACCATCTTTTGGGCCGAGTCCTCTTAGGGAAAGGAATCCCTTCAGAGGCTGCTGCTGCGGTGTAACGCGGTTCACAACTTGGATCTTTTGCTTGTCTCAGCCCCACGCCACACTCGTTTGTTCTGGGCTATATATAGGACACAGCTGTGTGTGACTTGAAAATCTACTTCTAATCATGTGCGCGCAAATTTATCAATGTAATATTTAGTCTCAGTTGACTCGCTTGGAATCGACCCCATTGCGATGCCATTCATTATCCATGCCGTGGATGGTAGCGGTTTCTCGTACCAAGTCAAACCTCTTCTCGTGCAAGTTGTCGTTATCAGTCCAAGCACGCTGCGAAATGATGGGGGAAGAGAGTAAGGTTGAAAAAGGTAAAAGAGTGAGAGAGAATGAATGAAGTTAAAAAGGAAGCAAAAATGAAGGAAGGAAAACATAAAAAGCAAGGCCGCAACCGGGGATTGAACCCGGGACCTCTCGCAAATTATTGAGTAGATGGGGCCGACGGCCACCAAATGCTGCAACTCAGGGTGAGCCCTAAGCGAGAATCATACCACTAGACCATCGCGGCTTGTTTGATTGGATGCTGGGCTGGGACGGGCGTGGAGCTTATATGTTTACGGATGAGGTGGCGCCGTGACTCGGTGTAACCGCCAGACACGCTAAGATGGAGAATCAGGGACACAAGTCAAACCCAAGGGAACGAAGAAAATGGAACCCAGACCGCCTACACAGCTATTCAGTGTTTGCCAAAAGACGACCAGGTTGGCTAAGAATTGGGGCTGCAGCAGTGGGATACGAGAATGAGACGTTTGTAAAAGGGCAGAACTCTGCTCACCATATTTTTTCTCTGGGCCGAAATTGGCAGGCCTCCCGTCAGCGTAAGACCCAACTCGCCAAAGCTCGCCCCTTTTTCGAGCGTAGCAGCTGGCGGTGATTTAAACACAGAAACACAGCCTTTGAGCATAGCAAGATGATTACCCGCCTACCATCGCTGGGTTGGGATATCAGCAGATTCAGAATCAGCAGCAGCTTCAAGTTCACCCGGTAGTGGCACCATGTCAACCCTTTTGGTGATGAATGAATTCTCAAAAGTCGCCGAATCTGCGCGAGCTAGAAGCTATCTGTGATTTCCCTCACGTCTCCCTCCTCCCCGCGAGCAAAAAAGTTACCATAAAAATAATAAAAGAAACGCAGAGAACAAACAAGGGCTGAATGTGATTAGTGGTAGCAGTGATCAGCCGCCTCAAAGAAAATCCAACGGTGAGATATCCTCAGCGGCATCACCAAACAGCCTTAAATCCCAGAGGCCCAGTCCAGGTTGCCTTTTTGTGTGTATATGTGTGAGTGAGTGAGATGGCTCTGAAGGGGGGGAAAAAAAAACGAGCGGGCATAAAAAAAGAAAAAGGCTGGAGCCCCATGGAAAATGACAATCTATCGCCAGAGTGACAAAAGTCCGACGCTAGTTTGTTGGTCCTGGTCCTCCTCCCTCATCTTAGGCCGAGCCGGCCATCTCGGACTGCGTGTTCACGGCCGTGAAGCCGCTGTTGGTGAAGGACGACTTGCTCGGCTTGCCGCGGTCCTCGTCGTCGTCTTCGTGCTTGGGCTCGTCCTTGACCTCGCCGTTGTCGGCCTCGTCGCCGCTGTCCTGAGCCTTGACCTTGGGTGTCGCCGCCGCCTTGGTGCCGCGCGGCTTGCGGGGGCCGGTCGGGCCCTTGCGGGGCTTCTTGGAAGGCGTCTCCTCCTCGTCGTCGTCGCCGCGGCCGCCGTTGGCCGCGGCCGCGTCGTCGCTGCCGTCGTCGACGACCTTGGCCGGGGTCTTGCGCTTGCGGCCCGTCGACATGCCCCCAACGCCACCGGACGGGAGGTTGCCAAAGATCTTCTTCTTGATGCGGCCCCATGCGTTGGTGGCGCTGCCGACGTTGGTCATGCCGAGGGCGTCCGCGAGTTTGTTCATGTCGATCTTGTTCGGTCGATGTGGCGGCGAGTGTGAGATGGGGCGAATAAGTTAGTGAACGTAAAACGTGAGAAAAGAGGGCGAACCGCCGGCGCCTGTGCTCTCGGCTGGGGAGGGAGACTGGCAGGCAGGCAGGCAGGCAGATATGTAGGTAGGTAGGAGGGTAATCTAACCTCTGGCTGGTTCCTCATGCAGGTCCAAGCCTTGGAGAGGATCTCGATCTCTCGCTCGGTGAGCTTATCATTATCCTTGGGAGTGGTGGCGGCCTTGTGGCCGGTCCGCTTGGGCGTCTCGGAAACCATGATGGCGACGGCGATTTCGAATGACCGGAAGTGAAGTGAAGTGGTGTGCGTCTGTGGACGTGGATGGGGAGAGCGAGAGCGTCAACAGCTTCGACAGAGACGATTGCGTGAGGCTGTAGATTGCAGGTGGTGCGGCACCCGCGATGTGGATGATGGATGTGTGCAGGTTGTGAGGATGGAAGATGGTGGTGGTGATTGTGATGTGCAGTGGTGTCGGTGGTGTGTGGTGTTGACCGGAGGAGTTGGTATGGGAAGAGTGTGGAGTTGGATGTGGTTGGGGTGCAGAGATGGAGGCACCGAGGTTTTTATATGGTCACAATTTTTTGGGGCTGCAGCAATGAAAGGTGGCTGGCTAGTGCGGTCGGGAGGGCTGCCGCAGCGGGAGAGCGCACAGAAAATTCGAGGTTCACCTTTGGCCATCCAAAGCAGATCTGAGAGGAAAGTGATGATGGACACACAATATGGGCGGGGAGACGGGCGAGGAGATGTGCACACAACCCAGTGGCCGCACAATGAGAGCAACTGATACTCGGCTCTCCTTCTTTGTCTTTCCTTGATACTACCTAGGTAGACAGCTAGCAAGTCTTCCAGGACAGTCCTTCGTTGTCTCCCTTTCTAGGCATCGGCGGCCTTGTGCAGATGGGCCACCAGCCAGGCCACAACAGCATTCTTGCCCAACACCATGGCCTCGCGCTCCCCCGGCTCGTCCTGCTTCCCGCGGATCAGGCAGCCGTGCTCGACTCCCGGGAGGTGCAGGTAGTCGAACTGCACCCCCTTCTTCATGATGGTCTCGAAGGCGTAGAGCTTCATCTCGGGGGTGAAGGCGGGGTCCCGCTCGGGGGCGAGGATCTGGACGGGCACTGCTACCTCGTCGAAGTCTTTCTTCGTCACCAGGCTCGGGTGGCCGAACGAGATGCAGTCGACTAGCGGGGCAGCCTTATGCTCCTCGGCACCAAGCCGGAGGCCGGCCCAGCTGTCATTCAGGTATGTACACCGATCAGAACACAAAGCAGGACTCGAGGACGCATGCTGTACATAGCTTGGGTTGACATTTTCACTCACCCGCCGTAGCAATATCCCTATAACGGTTTCAGGGGTCCATCAGCATTGCGAGAACCAAACCACCCTACTCGGCAAGTCGAGCCTTCCCCCGACGAGATAGCGCCATGCCTCGACTTACAAACATTCCGACGCGCGAGTGACCCCTATCCGTCCTGAGTGCGCGGGCACAGGCGAACAGCTCAGGCTCGCGGGCCTCGCGGCCGTTGCGGCTTATGAAGCTGTCAAGATCAAGCTCCTGGAACCGGCCGGCGCTGATGAGGTCCGAGGACAGCACCTCGCCGCCAAACAGGTCCGGCATGTAGACGGTCACGTTGGCCTCGCGGGCGACCTGGTCGGCCAGCAGGCGCAGGTTCCCAAAGGTCCAGCCGTACAGGTCGTGTACGAGCAGCACGCCGACCTCGGTGTTGGTCCCGGCGACGTAGACGTCGTTGCTGCCCAGCTTCTCAGTCCTACCCGTGGGGGTGCCGTCCCATTTGAACCCTTTGAGGCAGCACGAGTGAATTTTGCCCTCAGCCATATTTGCGTATCTCGGGAGTCCGGGGTTTCTGACAATGGAGGTGTTGGAAGTACCAGTGGTGTCGGGGTTGAGCAATGAAGATATCGACGAGATCTAGATGTATGTTTATAGGAATGGGACGGCCCCAGGGCTCATGTCATAAATGGTTGGCCGGCCCTGTCAGACCGGCGAGAAGTTGGATTCGCGAGGCTGCAGGTTGCAAAGTCCGGAAGCCGCGCTGGGCCGTTAACTCCGATTTTCATCGCGAATCGGTCAGCTGTGGCACCACCACACTAACACTAGCTGGCCACTCCTCCCAATAAAGTCCGAGCAGCTCCCTACCATTCCAAATCCGACGTCATGAGTGCGAAGCAGCCTCATGCCAACTGCTTCATCAGAGAGAAGCAACACACCCTACGCGATATGAGGCATGGTTACAGCCGCCCAGAACCGGGCTCGATCGTCAACGGCCAACAGACTCCCGACTTGGACTCCGGGGACAGCTTGGTCGAACCTGCCACGAGGGCTCCGGCCTTGATCGCATAGCTCCCCTAACTCCTATGCCTCCTGGAAGACCCATAACAGCCGACATCAGGCCTGGCAGCATATTCTAGACACACGAGCAAGGCGCTGCGGCGTTCGCAGCCGCAGTCGGAGGAGAGCAGGTCGGAGAGGGTATACATAGCGGCGCAGTAAACATCAGCGATAACAATGCTCAAGACCATATCCACGCCGATGACAACCAGGGTGTGCGTGGCCCGCGGCGGCCTCTCTTCCGGCTTTGTGAATGTGGGATGTACTGAGGCGTTGCCGCGCCATAGTCGGTCTCAACCAGATATACTGCGGCCACTGAGGGTACGTCTTAGAGCTAGGTGCATTGAAGAAAGGGAGCCAAGCCGCCAGCCATGGCTCCAGCGGACTCGGGCGCCACATGGCTACGTTGATTGACCATCTAGGAGCGTCGGCTTGCTTGGCGGGCTTGGCGGGCTCGGCTACTGGGACCTGGAAGCTCGAGTCCGACACCGACCGGACTCTAGGCCGGCATCTGGGCTCTGCTGAAAGTAGCCAGTCCTGTGGGGTCGATATTTACGAGAATCAGCCTTGTGCGCAAGGCAAGGGCGGTCATCGAAGCCGCAGAGAAGCACGGATTCAGATATCGGCATTCAAAATATGCGAGTCGTCTGGCTAGGTCTAGGTTAGGGGTTTGTCGGAGTGATATCACGAATACGCCAACAAGGAGGCGGGCAGGTCTATGTCATTGTCCACTATACTAACAACCCCTTTGTTCGTGTAGCGAAACGAGGGAGACGGGATGAAGGACCGACAATTGTCGCATCTGCTTGTTACCGCACCACAAAGCGTCACCGACACGATCAACGTAGACGTCTCGTGGATGATGGTGCCGCGCAACCCAGAAAAAGAGTAAGACACGAAAGAAAGGTATCCTCGGCCAAAAAAAGTTTCTTTTGACGCAGATTCTACGATAGGATATTCGGAAGGAAAAAAATATAGGACAGGAAATAAGAAAGGAAATAAAGGAAAAATAAATTTACAAGTAAAGGTTGTCAATGTCGTCGGGTTTTTTCCGAGGTCATCTATTGCTGGAGTGTTCACCCGACCTGTCGTACGAGTGCCAACAGAAGCCGCCGACGGCCGGCAGCGGTCGGCCGGGCGGCGCCATGAGGCACGAAAGCACAGCAGCAGCAACGACAGCCATCCGTGCCCCGGCTACGGCCGCAGCCTATCTGACCGCA